TAACAAATGAGAAAATGTAATTAAGAGTACATACCATTTAAAAGAGTGGTTTTCTCCTTGGTGTCCTTGTATTGTCGCAAACACTGGAGAAAACGACACATATAAGGGAAAACAAGCACCAGTGGGATAGCAATGGAATGACTGCCACACACAGAATCGGCTTCGAACCATGCAATTGTAGCAACCTGCATATTGAAAGGATATTGCTCAAAAAAAAATAACAGAAGTAATACAAACATTACATGCAACAAGGAGTGTATATATGAAGGTCGGATAAACAGTGTAATGTCAAACTGTAAGCAGCAAGTTACTTTAGCTTTCACTAATCCTATAATAACAAATCCAAATGATAACACAAGACAAGGATACAATATATGAATATATGTATGTTTCTTTTTGTTATATCACAATCACAATGACTATCAACAAATTTACAGGAACAGAAGCAAAAATTATATATGTAAGATTTTATATATTAGTAGTGGTTACCAAAGAATCACCAAGAGATGGAGGAGAACTGCAGATGGTATGATAAGAGGTTTAAAGATGAATTGCAGAAGTTAAGGCTGTCTTGGAACTACGTTGGGGTTGATGCAGCATGTTTTCAAATGGAGTCTGATAATATTATTGTGCTCAAAGGAGTCCCCTTTCTAATTCCAAAAGTCTGCAGGTGGAAGATGTAGAGAACACTGATGTGGGCCCCACAGCAGTGGTCCCCACTGTGTTCGTAGGACAGCATGTGTAATTATTTGTTTCAATCATAGTAGTGTCAATTGGGGTCAGTTTGTTATTTCAGTTGTTGTTTATTTCAGTTTTTATTTACTTTATTTGTCATGTAAGTACTAAGGGCAGATCTGTCCTTTCCTCTATGTACTGAACATAACCTATAAATACTAAGAGAGTGGCGGCAGCAGATGTGTTAGAATCTGTCCCTCCTTTCAAACCCTTGTGTTCTCCTGTTTCTCTTCTCTTCCTTCTCCTTCCTCTCACTTTTCTTCTGCTTTTCTTAACCTAAAATCTATTAGGGTTCAAGACTGATTGCAGTCTTGATCTTCTACTTGGTATCAGAGCCTATCTAGGGCTTCTCATGTGTGTCTAATCCAGCCAACCACATGAGAACTAGCTAGGGCTGGAAGCTTATGAAGAAGTATTCGTCGGCTGATTCTGGGAGATTACCAGGAGAGGTTCGCAGCTGTTGAGGACTTGTCGCGGCTTGCAGAGAGTTGGTAATCAGGAAGAAGCAACGAAGGCTAGGGTTCAGGTGAAGGGATGAGATATCCATCGCATGGACGCCCAAATCTTGCAGAATCGTATTCCCTATTTTAGAAAAATCATATTTTTCAAGGATCAATCTTGAACCAAGAACCGAACCAGATCTGAACAAAAGCAGTAGGAGAGGGATATACCTGATACGGAGAAATAATATCTCCCAACGAATGTGTTCACGCACAAGGAAGGATC